ATTATGTACGTATTATGTAAGAGAAAAATGACGGTGGAGGTAATGCGCCAAAAGAAATTGCCAATCGCCAAAAAAAAAATGTCTAAGAATGAATGGAAAGAAATAGAAGTAGTAGTCATGGCAACAAATGTGGGACTGTCTCTCTAGCGAGCTTGCTAGTTTAGCATGCAGCATCCACCCACAGCAACAATTTACTGTTTCCAGCACCGAAAGGCACAATAACTGACCAGGATTCTACCTTTGTCCACAAAAAGAAAAAAAAAAAAGGTCGTCGTTAGAAGTAAAAAGTCCGAATGTTGCCGTCAACACAATTAGGGAACGTGGGACTATTGGTGTGAGTCCAAGCTCTAATTTTAATGTATATATGTCACATCTGAGTATAAATTGCAGGACCAGTCAAACTGAAAAAGTGTCATTTACAGTTTAATCCGAAAAATACACTTAGATATATTCTTGTGATTATTTTTTTCTTTTAATGAAATGCATAAATTGGGGTTACAAGCGTCAAACATATGCAGGATCTGGATAAAGGTGTGATACAGGTTTTATCTATTAATGTGTTTATTTATTTATTCATTGCAGCAGGTAGGTAAGTATCACCCGGATTGGGATTGATTTTATCCATTTTCTTGTTAATGTTGGAAGGCATTTCACCGCTGTATTTAATTTGTAAGAAATTCTGATTAACGAGCACAATTACGCGCTGATTCAAAGGACTGGTCGGCCTTGGCTGAGGTCAAACCCTTGAGTGCCATCATCCATATTGTGATGCACACCATGTCTGCATCCATTTATTCAGAATTAAGAGTTTAAAGGCTTGTAGAGCTGCGTGTTTACTAATATAAACTGGCCAATCATAATCAATCATAGCCCAACACCTCTTCACCTCCCTCCGCCCCTGTTGCCAGTTGCCAAGAAGCGCTCAATTTGATATGTAGGTCAGCGGGCACATTGTCTTGTCAGCCACTGGGTGAGATATGTCCACTTGGTCGCTGTCACTTTGATTATTGGGCAGACGCATCGAGTTGGTCAGGTATGAGGGAGCCTGCGGTGGGAGATAGTTGACGAGAGTTGCCCCATACACACTCACACACACACTCACACACGACCAAGAAACGCTCGAAAGAGTACGGTCTACTCCGTTCTGCAGCGATGACCCACGTAACAAGACACATAAATTAGATGTTGTGCCAAATGCAATAATCACTGCATCATTAGGTAGGATGTTTGGGTAAGAAGGTTATGGAGGTCTTATGGGCGATATAGTGAGCTGCGCGACCGACACAAGGTGATCATTTGCTGGAAGCGGGGTGCAAACACAATCGCACATGAACAGTCAAATGAGTTGACAAGTGCAGCTGACCAACTGCCCACGTGCCATTTAACCTGCATATTTTAACGCAACGTGCCGATCGCATTGCTGATACTACGATCCATCGCAAACTGTTGCAGGAAAATTTTTCCCCATACAGAACAATTCTAATCAAAATCGTGTTTGCGGCAGTCCAACTGTCAGCATCATAAAACCTTTATAAATTGCACTGGAAAATTTTAAGTAACGTTATTTGACATTATTATCTGTCATGGATGTGTAACAAAATTTATTAATTTAATTTAGTTTTCAGATAGGCGGCACGGTGGTCGACTGGTTCGCATGCAGAGGTTTTAGGTTTGAATTTGGCCTTCCTGTGTGGAGTTTGCATGTTCTCTATTTGAGAGGGAGGGCTGCGCTGCTTTGGGAGTGGTCATAGCCGACTTTAAACGTGGTGGATTAGAGGGCCTCCTCTCATTCCCTTTAAATGCAGTGCACTAGTCACACACTCGTATCTTGACTTAGCAGAAGCACATTTGCAACATGAAGTAGGGGACTTGGAGACCGCACCCCAGCCCCAATTCATCTTGTGCCCCTCCATCATTGTGCTACCCGGTGGGATGATTTAAAAATATAATACAATAACTCAAAGGGTTTGATGCCTGCTGTTCGAATATTGATGAGCTAAATATATCGAGTTAGACCAGCTGTCTACCCCTGCACCACTGTGAAACGTGGTCTGAGCAGGCGTAAGGTTTACATTGACTTCCTACCACCAAACTGTCACTCTGCTTGGCACATTAATAAGATACTCATTCTGCTATGCCGGTTTGCCCAGGTAGGCAGAGATGTGTCTGCCAAATTGGCATACATACTGTACAGCGAGCCTTGCGCTGGTACGAAAATCAAGACTCGCCACATTTGTGCCACGGTGCAGATGCGCCAGCGACAAAAATAGAGCCCATAATGTCGAATTTGTCCATCGGTCACTACAATGGGCCACTATTCTAAAACTGTCTTGATGTCACAGCTGCACTCTTAAAATGCAAATTCTAAGAAGAGGAAACACTTTGCCAAAAATCCACATCTTATGAAACGTTGACATAGCCCAATATTTTTGTACTACTTTGAGGAATTTCTCTGGAAAATTCAGTCCGAATATCCAATTTTACCTCCAATTCCCCTTCGTGTGTTATGCTAATGCTTTATATATTAGCTAATGTGAATCTCTAAATTAAAAATAAAAAAAAATCTCCATTTCAACCAATTACTTCTTCACCTAATTGAAAGACCACGATGCCCCTTGTATTAAGGCAGCCATCAATCTGTCCATTATCAATCAAGGAGAAGACTCACACACCATTATCTATTTATCTTGCCAAGTGCTCTATTAATATCAAATTAATTTCCCCATTGAGTGTATCAATCACTCATTACGCATTTTTTCCCCTCACCTCATTAGCATGGTAATTGTCCTTGTTTACGGGAGGGGGAAAGTCAAGACAGGGTAGGTGAGCATCATATGCCAAAGTCCTTCATATAGTTTAAGACTGGGGATAGTTTAATACATATACATTTTCCAAGGGTTCACAAACATTTTAAAAACACTATTAAGTATGTCAAATCACGAATTGATGGTATTTACGTCACTCATTTCGAATTACGAGTTGTTTGCCCGCGACACAAACTCAGGGGCTAGCAAATGGCTAACACAGTGCTTGAACAGTTGTGTAGTAGCGGCAGGGCGTCAAAATAAGTTAAAGAAAAAGGCATTTCAGCCATCAGTGGATTGTAAAGTGCCATTTGTATCCTCATTGGAATCACTATCGCTACAACTATTTATTCGATTAAAAAAAAAATAATCATTTTATACAACCAGCATTTTGTCTTTCTTCTGCTGAGGTTGAAACCGTTAACTAGTTGTGTTCCGCAGTTTATTGCGCCATTGGAGTTGGATGTTGTTGAGCATGTCCGCTCTGTCATCGTGAAATATTAATTAGAATAAAAAACCTTGCAATAAATCTGAAAAGGGAAACAGTATACAGTCACATTGCTAACTGATTCATGTTGCTAAGTGAAGGTTCAACACTCGCTCGATAAATGCGATCATTAACCCAAAATGTCCAACCTTGTCAGCAAGCTCAGATATCTTATTTATTTATTTATTTATTGGTGGGGAGCACATATTGAGATGCTACGAAACCTTCATCAGGTAATGTTAGCAAAGAGCCATTACCCGGTTATGTTGGTGGAAAATTAAAATTGTATATGGTTCCAGCGCTTGCCGCACACTAAAAACTTTGGACATCGAACCACATACTGCTTCACCTCGAAGAAACACATACACTGAGTTTTTAAAATACAACCAGAAAATGAATGTGCATAGTATACGTATGTTTCCAAAGTGGACCTCTATTTTGAAACAATGGATTGAAACAACCTTAGATGCACCCAAGTTGTCAAAAACTTTCAACTGTATGTGAAAGAGAGAAAGGTGCTCTGGTGGGTTTATGATGGCATTGTAGTGGCGCTGCCTGTCACCTCAACACATGACATGAATCAAGACTAGGCCTGCAGCGGTTTTAAAAATAGCGTCTGCCCTTTTTTTTTCCCCCTCCGCTGCAAACATTGCCGTCACTTCGCCGTGACACTGACGCCAGAAACCTGAAATTTAAGAGCCAGTCACGAGTCAACCATGGCGCACATCCATCCATTCACCTGCTGCATCCTCTTCAGAATAGCATCTGCGAGGCCCTTTAATGAAGTGCGGTGACACATGTCAGCGGCATCCATGTTCCAAATCCTCGCTTCGTAAAACTAAGCAAGACGTGAGGGGATTAAGTATGATGGTGTATGTGACAAATCATTTGGCTCTCAGCTGACAATTTAAATTCCTTCCGTCCATGTCTGGCTAATTACAGCACATGAATTGTTAATGTGCGCAGACTTACATTCCTAATGGTGCGACATGCCATGCATTCAATAGTTCTAAGGCCTTGTTCACACTGCAGGTAAATCAGATTTGTTGCCCATATGGCATCCTTGAGGTTTTACCGTCCATAAATATGATCAGATTTATTGCATCCACACGTCACTATTCTACACGTTCAATCCATCAATAAAATCAACAACAACTTGTCTGTTTTATCCTGGAGGGAACCCAATAAAGCCCTGACACTAACCTTACTCGAACCCGTACCCTCATTTACACTACTCTAAATCTTTCCATATCACACCCTAACCCAGTGGCAAGCGGTGAGGTCCTGGCATTACAGTCCGATCAAGAAATGTATGAGCCAAACAGGGTGCTGTATTTAAGATTAAATTAGCAACCTGACCTTTAAAACTGGTTACTGGCTTCGGGCTTCCATAATTAATTTAATCCCATTATGAATCCAGTTTTGAGACATTTTTTTTTAATATTGGATCCCTGCTCTTTGTGGGGAATAAGAACTGAGCAGGCCCGCGAACACCTAACATTTGCGTATAATTGACGCTCATTGAGTTGATTTGGGGGCCTGGGGGTTAAACACCCAAAATTCGTGAAAGAACACTGATAAACATTCAATATGTGTTTTTGAAATTTGGGAACAATGGGAGTGAACCAGCAAAAACAAACAAACAAAAATATTGTGTATGGCATTCCTGAATTTACGTCTAAATTACGTGATGACGTAATTGCATGTGACTTTGTGTTCCCGGAAAAGGGTAAAATAAAGCGGGAAGGGAAACGGTGCAATTCCGGTCTGCCCAGGTGTGTTTATAAGAGGTAAAAAAACACGACAAATATATTTTTTAAAATGTTTAAAACTATTGAGAAAAATCTGTGAAAATGCGTATCAATTGCCAAACTGCGAGCATGCAGGGGTCCACTGTAATATCTTGTGCGTTTAGCTTTCACCTGGCGCAACATAGAATGAATGAAGGGACTGCAGCTGTTGTTTCATTTTCCTCACAGAATAAGCACGCCAACACGTTTGTATCATTTTCCTGAATCAAGTCTGAACACGTACAGTAAAAAGATGGGCAAGCCCATTTCATGAGGAAGTGACGGCGCAGCGATCAAAACGATCAAGATTCAGCATTTTCATGTGAAGATGTGACTGAAGACCAAATATTAACAAATGTAATCATATTTTTATTTATTTATATAAACGAGATGTTCGGAGGTCGAGGCAATTACCTGGTTGTCTCACACCTTGCGCTTTAGCTGACGTTTAAATGTGATCAGCAAAACTAAATATGTAACATATTTTAAATTCAATAAGCCTGGTAATGGAAAATTAGAGGCATGTTAAATTTGTCTGAAAACATGTTGGAAATGTGAAAAGCGACAAAAACAGTCACATGCAAAATCCAGATCGCTTCCTCTGTTGTGGTCCATTCATTTTAGCAATCGATAGTAAAGGATTTCGCAATGTGAGGTGAATGACGTGATGCTGCTCGCTGCCACACTTTGCGTCTAAAATGTGTACATGCAACAGTTTTGCCAATGAAATCATGGACATTATTGGATTCAAAGGGAAAATCAATACAAAGCACAGATCAGAGAGGAGAGTTAAAATTAAAAAGAGTTTTAATAAAGGAGAAGTCAAGTAAAAAAAATAAAATAAATCATCTGTTTTCTGAATTTGGTCATGTGACATTCACAAGCTGACCTGTAATTGATCGTTACCTGAGCCCTGAGCAACTGTGAGGTGTTTTTCAGTCGACACGAAGCAGTAAAATGGCCATAATCAGAATGCCGTGTTTAGACTCGTGGCATTGCAAACAATAGTTTTGACCTCTTTTTGACTCGTTTTCGTTTTTTTTAATCTTCATGATGCAGGTGAGCCACTGCCTCACATGTCCCTTAACCCACCCCCTACACTGCATTCCATCGCAAACTCTACAACCAAGTATGCCTTTCTCTGAAATTGGGCGAAAGCTTAAGGTGGTTGAGTCAAAAGAATCTGGGTTAGAGTCCTACTTTGGGCCTTTCTGAGTAGAAAACCGTGATTGTTGCATTGGTGTGAATAGTTTAATGCTTGTGTATCCTTGTATTTGATACCCCACCATACTCAGGATTGTTTTTATCTTTCTACCCTGTATATGACGTGGTGTCACACTCGCAATGTAACGTAAGACTCATACAATAATGACAAATTGTAAATGTAATAGTGCTGGTGGAATGTTAAGCTTTGCTGATTATTTGAAGTCAAGCTTTCAGATCTTATGGAATGAGGACCCCATCAGGACATATTAAGAACTACAATAGTGTATTAAAGTTACATTTTCGATGTTTCACATATTAAAAGGTCTTGACCCAAACACTTATTTTTTTGTCAGGACATGCTCCCCCTGGAAGGAAAGATGGAAAAGGACCACCTACCCAGTAAGACTCACTGTGAAAATGTATGTAACTGACTCGCACCTTCCACTTTCACTGAATCTATAAAAGGAGGGGAATAAAAGACAAACAGCAGAGAAACAATTAAGTCGTGTCCAACACTTTAATATATAAAATTACATAGGGAACAACACATTAGTTTATTTTCTAAAATAGCCTACAAACACAACAAACGTAACACATATTACAGTTAAACAACTATACAGCCAATGTACACAATATGAAACACATATATACACTCTTTTATATATTATTATATAGATTTTTTTCCCCCCCAACCCCCTTAACCTTTCGAACTGGAAGCCAAACAGCTTGAAGATGGAGCAGTTCACAGAATTGACCAAGTACCTCACGTGTATAGACTGTACAGTGGATAGGTAGTTTTTACATACAGTTGTTGGAGCTTGTGTATTTAGCATGCCGCACTGTGCAATCATATTTAAATACACAAAACATGCTGTTGATACTGTCACTGTAAGTGCTGTTGCTATGACTGGAGACACTGCATGGCGGAGTGTGCGCAGTATGACAAAGATGGAGTGAAATATTTATATGTACAAAAACAAACGGCTTATAACAAAAACAAAAGCCAAATGACAAAACAGGATATTGTCATGCGTGAATCCAATTTGGCAGATTGTAAACTAAAACAACAGTCCCAGATTCCAAGTCGATGGTCTTGTCACTCTTTCCTCAAGCTGGTGATTCTTCCACCTGTCTTTTTCATCTAACATATTACATACACAGTACACACACGTTTATATATTTTTTTTGTTTTACAAAAGCAGCACAATGAGTAGGAGGAGTGTGAGAACAGAAGCTGGGCCGTTGACTGCCACTGTTTGTGATACCCCTCGGTTGTAAAGACGCGGACTCCTCGGGGAGTTCTGCTTGAGTTTGCTGGGCGGCAGCGCTTTTAAATCCTCCAAGGCGCCGTATGCTGCCATGGAGAACTCGGGGTCTCCCGTTGTCAGCAAGTCGAACACACAGGACTGGAAGTAAACGTCCTCCACCTGCAGAGTCTCTCGACACTTGGCCGTGGCTCTCTCCACCGTGTAGACCTGGTGAGGGGGACGCAGCGGGCCCAGCTCGGTGGCGGCGCCGGGCTGCCGGTGCTGTTGGCTCTGGCGGCCCAACGTGTGTTCCTTGATGAGCTCATTGCGCGGGCAGCCATGCAGGCAGAGCTGTAGGCCGCCATTGTCCTCGGAAAAGTCCAGCGTGTCCTCGGGCATTCGGATGGCGAAGGTCAGGTAGCTGCCCACGCGGCGCACGATTATAGATGTGCCGATGTAACGCGCCTGGATCTTCACCTGACGCCCCGCTCCGGAGCCGCCGCGCTCCGTGATGGTCAGGCTGCCGCTCTCGCCGCCGCTGCGAGTACCGTCCTGAAAGGCCAATGGCAGGTCATCCGTAGTGGCCTGGTATACTTTCTGGTCTGTGCAGCCGCGGTATGACTTGAAGATGACTGTAATCTGAAAACATAGAAAAAAAAAAAAAAGATATATTAATAACTAGAACTGGAATGATTAATTGAATAACTCAATTGAATCAGTCACAAAAAAAAAACAAAAAAAAAATCCAAGTCAAATCTCTGCCTCGAAGCATCATGGCTCATCTGGAGGAAATACTTTGTATTAGACTCAGAATACTTAAAGTTTAGGATTATTTCACAAAGACTGCCACAAAAAATTGCAATCAATTAGTCAGTGTAACATTGAATTCTAAAAATATTTGATCGCTGCAGCACTATCACCAACTCTTACCAATTGTACTTTTACTTGAACGCTTCAATCAATTTGAGCTGAATAATCTGACAAAAGAATAGGAACATTTGAATTGGCAAAATGTTCTTTCTGCAGCTAGCCTCCAAACCCATCACAGTCTTAAAACTAGTATACTTATTTGACCCACATCTATAACATTGACATTTCTTATTTTAAATGAAATTTGACTCACAACCAGGATTGAAATCTCAATCACAAATTATAATTTAGATTTTTCAGCAATTTTTGTTGAAAGCAAATTGATACTCTGGTCGGAAGAAACCTCTCGGCAACCAAAGAACAAGTCTATTTTGCCTTCATTTTAGATTGTTCATCCTGGTGAGATTTTTGGTTTTGGAGCGTACCTTCCCGTCATGATATCAGACACACATGGTGGCAGGGTTGAAGATTTTGTATGGCCATGATAGAGTGCGTGCGTGCGCGCGTGCGTGCGTGCGCGCGCGCGCGTGTACATTTTCATCAGAATGCATGTGTTTGTAAAACTGTTGTGAGTTTAGAGCACGTTGAAGCACCCAAAAAGTTGATTTATTTGCAGAACAGAAACGGTTTCACAAGGATCTTCATACCTCTGTGCTGTGGCCCGACTAAAACCTCAGCACGCAAAACACTCAAATTCGACATTTAATTGGTTGTTGCATCATTTTTGTCACGAATTTTAAATGGCCTTAGAAGGATGGACCCTGACAAGAAAACCAAGGTTTGACCACCTTGGTCCTAAAATTAATCAAATGCAGGACCATGATGACCACACGGTGGCATCAGAGAACCAAACATGTAAATCTCATTGGCTTCTTTTCCTGGCTGAAATCATCTTCGGCCAGCCCACCATTCATTTGGCCCCTACGTTTAAAAAAAAACAACGACCAGCATGTTATATGAGCCGCTATCTCCCCCCGCCAGACTGTAGTGCCCGCACTTGGACGAGCAGTGACAGTGATTTGTATCCCAGCTGAGCTCTGAAAACGAAATAAACAAATCAGGAGATCCCGAAGCAGCCGTTTCTTTGAAAGTACCTGACAAAGCGCCCGCCTCTGTTGCGTTTACACTTTTGGAAGGGATACTGTACAATGATGGATGATTTCCTGTCTCAAGTCTGGCAAGTTGAAACCAACTCAGAAGGCGCGATGGTGGCAATGCGGGTACTGGCAGAGATACACCTCCGCACACTTTCAGGTTCGCATAAGGCTTTGGAAAAACACACAAACGAGCGCTACTTTAATCTACGGGGCTTGGTTCCGTTTTAATATCATATAACAAAAATGTGGACCTTTATCCTTGGAATATGTATACAGGAATTGAATAAAAATCTAATTTCCCGAGATGTTTGTGTAGGTTGATATTAAAATTAACCTTCATAGCAATTACCCCAGTTTAATTACGCGTTTCTTTGAGGTCAGGGTTTCCAAAACTCTGGCTCAAAATGGGTCAGGCCATTTTTTTAAGTCGCCAAGTGTTTTCAAGCCGGCACACCATTGATTTTGTTATAATAAATCCCTTACCCCAGTTTAATTACGCGTTTCTTTGAGGTCAGGGTTTCCAAAACTCTGGCTCAAAATGGGTCAGGTCATTTTCTTAAGTCGCCAAGTGTTTTCAAGCAGGCACGCCATTGATTTTGTTATAATTAATCCATGTGTCCTTTAGCATGACTATGTACAGAATATCTCCATATTATGGCAATGCAGGGTGTATTTTGTTAAGTTTGGGTCAGCTGAAAAGTTTTGGGATACTCTTGCGTGTCAATCTACTACTGTTTCTCTCAGCAATTATGACATTTAAAAGACACTCCTTTCCAATTATTCTTCTATTTTTCCACATCGTTCCATATTTACACAGAAAGTGCCAGGCTAATTACTTGACCAGAGGGGTGACAAAAACATTCCAGATTGCGGCAGCGGAGAATGTTTGAGTGAGCGTTAATCACTACCATATGACCACCCATGTGTTAAAGGTAGAGCGCTCAAGCATGTCAGTGATTCAACGCCGGTGAAGGACTCTCCCTCCTCGCTCCCCATTTCTCTTTCTTTCTTTCTTTCTTTCTCCCCCCTCGTAGATCTCAGGCCACTCTGAGACGGCAGGAATGCCGGGGAGACTCGAGAGGCACCGTGGAATGACGATTAACTTCACATGTTTTGGTGCCTTATGATGAGACTTGAGCTAGCATGCTAACGTTCCACAACACAGCCTGCATGCTAGGAATTATTTTGGATCAAGATAGCAGCTCAAAGGTTGACTAGATGTCCTCGATTAACTGTTTTACAATCTGTATTTTTTTTGAATGAGAAGTGGTGTTTTGAATTTCTGTAGACTTCTTCAGTGTCGTACTGAACTGCTTGGAATGGCCATGCTAGGTCTTGTGGATGTAGCCTTTAGCGCATTGTTTTTCTTCAGACTGCAAACTAAACGAGAGTGAATAAACATATTCTCTATTAGTTGCTGTTGTTGTGGTCAGGCCCAAGCATTGTCTCAAAGTATTGCTTTGGTGCCATCTTGCTTCCAAGTAACTGTGTTGAATTGAGGAGCTTCATATAGTGTTTTTCCGCCACCTTGTGGCATCTTTGTTACCACGGAACTTTGCTGAAGTGTGTAGTGTTTTGCTGCCGTTTTGTAGCTTTTATAGGCAATTATAAATATTTTTGGTGGGGTGTCAGTTAATTGTAGATTTTCGCTATTGGTGGCAGGGCTCAGTTCCGCAGGGAACACTGTGCTGCACTCTTTTTTTTTTTTTTTACCCGAGTTGCCTTAAAATGATGATGCAACAATCATTTTGACTGATTGTTATGCCCATTCCTAGTTGTAATCTTAGCACACTGGCTGTCCTTACCTTGCTGGTTGCAGTGGCGCTGGAGCCGAGAACGACGGGCACATTGGTCACCTGCACGGACAGGTAGCGGTTATCGATCAGAGGCCATGCCCCTTCCACCTTGCAGGTCTGAAACTCGTCCCGGAAAGTCCGTAGGTGAGGGTCTCCGAATAATCCACAGTGGGCATACTTCTTCTGCTGGCCTCCCGAACCGGCGGCAAGAACTCGGTTCTCGTAGTTGCACAGCTCCGACACAACCGGACGGGACGTGCTGGGGAGCTTGGCGGAGGATGTGGGTCCGTCGCTGGAGCAGTTGTGCTGAGAGAATAGCTCCTTGATGCGGAAGACGGCAGAGTGGTAAACCAGATCACCTCGGCAGCTCCGGGCCTGCCGTCGGGTACATAGGGCATAGGCCCGTAGCGCGATGCAGTAGTCCACGTCGGGTGGCGCGTCCTCCTGCAGGCCGTTTGAAGGTGAAGTAGACGCCACGTACTCGGCATTACAGCGCTGGATGCGACACTGCTGACAGTAAGCTGGAAAACAAAATCAAAACCATGAGCATTAAAGAGATAACTCGGATATCTGTAATCTTCTCCTCTGCCAAGGCCGAACAATCCTAATTGGGCCAAGTACCAACTCCTCCATATGCACGACTTTTATTCAATTTGTTGAATCATCTGTAATTATTTTTGGATTAATTGATTAATCAGATTTTTAAAAAAACTTGCATTTCCATCCCTGTATTCAAAAGGATGATACTATTTCAAATTGACAGAACAGGCTACACACAAACATAGATTATGATTCAGTTACTGGTTTGGGTCCATAACACCCTTGAGAAAATTAGCAAAAATGTTGAAAATTGTTTTCCAATTTAAAAGCAGATGTTAGCAAATATCTTGTTTTGATAATAAGTCTGCTTTCATGGAGATTTAGAGAAATTCAGAGGACTTGGAGAATTGTAATCTAAACAAGGTCTCTAAAACGATTAATCAATTATCAAAACATCCATCCATTCATCCATTTTCTAATCCGCTTATCCTTGCGTGCTGAAGCCTATCCCAGCTGTCTTCGGGCAGTAGGCGGGGTACACCCTGAACGGGCTGCCAGCCAATCGCAGGGCTCACATAGACAAACAACCATTTGCACTCACACTCACATCTAGAATTTAGAGCGTTTCATTAACCTGCCATGCATGTTTTTGGAATGTGGGAGGAAACCAGAGTACCCGGAGAAAACCCACACAGCCACGGGGGGGGGTTGCAAATTTTAGCACTATTAGATGTCAAATTCCCATTCCACTCCACACAGGAAGGCCCGTAATCCAACCCTGCACCTCTGCACTGTGAGGCAGACGTGCTAACCAGTCGATACTGTGCTGCCCAATCCAATTCTTAACGATTAATTAAACGATTGTCATGCCCCTGCCTAATCTATGCAATATTTCTTCCTTGGCTCATGCACCTCCAACTCTAACTTACTTTAAAACACTACAATGAAAATGATCACGAACTTTGAGTCCATGAATTCTGTCGTTTCACAGAATTCGTGGATTGTTATGCCCACCTGATCAGTTTAGCGCACCTGGAGTGACAAGTCTCCATGATCACCATCAAGTCATTAAAACCTGAGCGTACGAGTTTCCAAATTTTCCCTCTTCAAAAGCCCTCCCAGAAATAGCAAGCAGATTCCACCGTTAGAACGAAAACAACCTGTGTTGGTTAGCCTGAGGGTGTTTAAGATGGTTTGGCTGCTACTACTGAGATAGTTGAGGTCCATATAACTACACTATATGGCACACCAGGGCAGATAACACGAGAAATATCAGGGCCATGCTGTTTGGGAACTTGCAGTATTAAAACTGGAGTCTTTCAGAAAAATGATCTTTCTATCTGATGGGAGTGAGGACAAAAAAAATGTGCAAAAAGCCTTCTTTGGAGGGTTTACTTTCCGACTCAAATCTCAATAACTAGAATGTTACTCATTCGTGCGCTGACCTCTGCGCAGGCTGAACAAACTTGAGAAACGCCCGCCTGCAACTACCTACAAAAGCGAGAATAATTTCTTTTCACCCTTTTCATTTTTAGAGAAGTAGCTCCATACACATTACATTGATAATAGGGATGATTAGGGGAAAAAAGTACTTTAAAGAAAATTAACGATCTATTCATTTTTTTGGTACGAATCATAAATGCTGCCAAGAGTTCAGTTGCTCAATATTTTAATAGCTGACGTCATATACCTGTACATCTTTAGACAGCAAACTATGGCAAAAGTGAATCAATAGCACTAGTAGTGCACACCGTTTTGCCGTTGTCAAGACATGATTAATCAAAAATCAATTCTAAACAAATTCACCAATTCTTAATGATTAATTAATCGATTATCATACCCTTGCCGAATCCATGCATTACTCACTAAGAAATTAACACTTGCACAATGATTACACAGTTGATTTTTCCTTGGCCTATGCCCATCCACTCCAACTTATTAAAAAAAAGTGAAAATGAAAAATATGCAAACGACTGGGATTGCGCAAGTGAAATGCTACAGTCTATTTTTATCATCACCGAAGCACATCATTTCTTGTCAAAGGTCCTTTTGATTTCTTGTTTCATATCCATTGTGTTCATTGTTAACGTGCTGTTTACAGTACTAATTAATGGTTTGGTAATGCTTAAAAAAAACACTTCGGGAAACCCTTTTAGAGAGAGTCGAGGATGACATTCCATGTCACCAGTTTCCGTCAAAGCTCACATCTTGGACAAGACACTATCAACCCTGTCCATGGGAATTTTTCACACAACCAGCTCTTCCCTTTCACAGAGGTGTGACTCTGTGTGACTGGGTGGGGTGGGGTGGGGGGGTGACAGATGATTAATGCACGTCACCGCTGCGGCACTTCAGCACTCGCCCTGATAAAACAGAGATGCGGTGAAGGAGGTCAAGCTGGAGGCATTCAACATCCCTCCTCGGAATTCCAACGGGCCTCGGCTGCCTCGTATCGGGGTCAGCAGAGTCTGCCCCGATTGACACCCACTGACAATCATCGCCATGAGAAACCATCAGCTATGGTTCATCTCCCAAAATGACCACACGATCTTCATTTGGGACCAGTGTGATGACCAGGAAGGGCCTGCTCGCATTTATTTGACAGTTATAAGATGGGGATGAGTTGCTTTAAAAGCAGATGTTTAGCACCCAATGTTGTAATTTTTGTGGTCACAATGTGGTTTGGAATAACCACAAAGAGATGGGCATGGTCACTGATTAAATCGGTCATTAAAAAATAATCCGTCAAAAGTGATTGCTTATTAGTCACATTTTGAAGCAATGGAAGCAAAATGACGTGCTCCTCTTGGCTGCAACCAGCAGACTGTTTATTCAATCTCAGCCTCTGTAAGGAAGGCAGCAATGATGTCAGCTATGAGAAGTTGAGCTCCATCCACATACCTCCACTCAGAAAAAACTCCGCAGATCAATATGCATATGTCAAAATATAAAGAAATATATCCATCCATTTTCTATTGCTGAAACCTGTTTTAAAGTCAGGAGAGTGAGTGTACTACTACGACTATTACACCACAAGTGACCCAAATAAAGGGATACAATCAAAAGTAACCATTTCGAAATTCTCAAAGAACTTGAGATTCTTAGATGATTCACACAGCTTTCCCACAGACTCCAAATCTCTTTTAATGTATATTTCCATACAACGTTTAACTCTTAATAGTTGTTTGAGCAAGAAAAAACGAAAAACAACTGCTACTTTGACCAATTTCAACCTGTGGAATAAAAAAATACATTTGTGTGTGTGTGTGTGTGTGTGTGTGTGTGTGTGTGTGCGTGTGTCCCAAGAGGAGTATTTCCCCAATACCAAGTACTTAATATGAACCTTTCACGTTCTCAAAAAGCTATGACTGAGGAAAAAAAACAGCAACAAAGAAACATACATCTTTCTCCCACCGAGAGGCGGCTTTGTGGTTAGGTAGCGGTTTGGTTTCTCGTGTCATGCCAAATAGCTCCACAGTGGACACCCCCTCCACCTCCTCTATTCATGGTAGCTAATAAAGTTAAGAACTCGAGCACCAAAATACCGTCGGTGCAACTTGCTTCCACGACAAGGTGAAGTACACGCGATACATTCGTAAATTGTGACGAAAACATTCAGTCTCGTTCGCTGTCCTAAAATAAAGTCAACATTGGGTGTTTTTTTTTCTACTGCTTGCTTGGACGCTCGTGAGCGACCCTAGCTAGCAGCTAACCCCCCCCTCCCCACCACTCCAAAAAAAAAAAAAAAACGTAACTAAATTTCGTTTCAAGCTAAACAGCGAAGTTGATCTGAACTAGAGCACGGTAGGTGGTTAAAATATGGTGTTCTTTATTTTCGAGAATTTCCGACCAAGTGTTGTCTAAAAGGGGAGTCAAAGTTGCGTTAACTCACGCTGCTGGGCTAGCAAAGTGAGGGGCAGGGGTACTTTGTCCCCGCGGTGGGCTCAACAACTTTTTCCAACACGACTTTGTAACGCCAAGATCATAAAATAGTTGCACACCAGGGAAACGCGAGCAAGTTTCAGGTGAGCACAACAACGCAAGGAGACATTCCAAACTTTTTGTTCCACCTCCCGGTCCGATTGAGGCACGCCGGGCTCGGAGCGGAGCAGCACGGATTTGGCCGGACGGCTCGCACGCATCCACTTACCTGGTGGATAGAGCAGCGAAATGACAACCATCGTCAGCGTTACACAGTCCCAAAGCTGCAGCTTAGCCGTGATCTGAGGTCCGCTTCTCCCCATGCCAATCCATTCAGTTAGAATGGAGTTGCTCGACTGCTTCTCATCGACGTTGCGGCTGAGGGGGAAATCAGAGCAAAATTCGTCTCCCTCCCCAAGCGCTGTCATTCAAAAGGGGCCCCTGTCTTCAGGGCGGTTCTATGGGGAGGGGTTTCGAGTGGAGACTGGGGCCCCGAGCTGATGGCTGGCCAATGGAGTCCTTTTTTTTTTTTTTTTTTTCCACTGACCACTTCATATTTACATGCAGTGGCAATTGCAATTTACTTGGTGGCTGAGGACATTGCAAAATTGCTTCATGGTGTGTGCTTCATGATCGGAGTTGGTACGAGAATCTGTTTGCAGAGGTGGGCAGAGAAGGTAGCCAAAAACTCAAAGTAAGAATACAGTTCCTTACGAAATTGTAGGACTCAAGTCAAAGTATGAAGTAGTCCTCCCAAAAAATTACTTTATCACACATTTATACACTCAGCAACTCAATGTGCTCCGCACAACCAAAAGCAGAACACCTAAAAATCATTTACAAACAGCAGAAGACATTCAAAGGCAATAACCTTGCTTGCAAACTGACTTCTCACAGTATTTGTGAGTTCACACAACCCCGGATATCTGATACTGTGGAGAACTCCTTTGAGCAATTCACAAATCCATCCGGCTCTAGCCAGGTTGCAAAGAGACCAAAAGTAGCTTATTAAAAGAGTTATGAAAATAATGTACATTGACAATTAAACACATTTACAAATAAACAATTTAAAAGCAAAGAACATTTCTCAAAGTATTGACGGTGAAAATTTGTTGAATGCTTAAAAGACCTTGATCAATAGTATTGGGGAAAAAATGGAATTAAAACCATTTACACTTGGTGCTGACTTCACTTCTCTTGGCATCTTCTGCCACGTGCTTGCAGCATAATAGCTTAATGCTGCTTCACCATGATTACTTTGAAGCTAACTGACCCGAGACGGAAGACCATCGTGCCCAACTCGGTTTATATTCAATTCACGTTTATTTTCTGTGTTCCGGACCCAACCCATTCAGACATTAATAGACCAGTAAGTGCAAATTTCAGATCTATTCTGCAGCTGACTGGGAGCCAATTTAGCACTGGAGTAATATGTTCTTATCGATTTGTTCAGGTCAGAACCTTAGTTGCAGCATCCTGAATGAGTTGTTTGATGCTAAGTATTAACATCAAACATAAGTGAAGACAAAGTATTCAGTGAAAAATTCCCAAAGTATTGAGTAATTGTGAAATTCTGCCCAACAACATCACTTTTAACTTCTGCCAATCCATCCATTTGTCCATTTTCGAGACAATTTATATCCTGTTCGGGTTTGCGGGGAGCTGGAACCCATTCCTACAACTCCTGAAACATGAAGTGGAGTTATTGTTGGCTGAAATGTCGTTTTTTTTTTTCGGCAGACGTAGATGACAACATGCAACAAAGCTGTTTTTTTTTCTTTAGTCTAAAATAAATGGATTGTGAGGCCAGCGGTGTTATTCCTCTTTCCATGTGCAGTCACAGGTCATTACTTTCTCCTTTGTTTCTGCCATGCTTCAGAGAAATGAGTCACTTTGAAGCCCGTGGGTGGGGACGCGGCCCACCAAGACTTTCGTATTAACACTTTATTTCTGTAAATTTGTCATGTATTAATACAACTTAATTCTTGTCACATTAAAAAAAAAACATTATGACAAGTTCTTGTAACAGACTAATTATATAACATTTCAACTTTTTCGTCCGCTATTATGACGATTCTCATCAAATGAAATGTAAAATGATATCCTGGTAAAGTTTAGCCTTTTTTCGTGTTTTACTTTGCTTTCATACATTTTCAAAAATTGTGTTTAATTTTTCTGCTTTTTTTTTTTATCTAAAAACATTTTTTTTTGCAAATTTAGATTTTATTTTTGTAACTTTGTGACTTTTTGCATTATTTTACAACACAGTTTTTCTCGCAACACTGCTTTTTTTTTGTCAAATTAAAAAATGAACCTGTAATGTAAATATTTTCAGAGTACAATGCTTTCTTTTCGTAACTTACTGGATGCAACATTTCTCTCATAATTACTATTCTGTTATCGCAACATCATATTTTTAATGTCTTTTTTGTAACGTCTTCACTTCACTTTATTATCGTACCTTTTACAATTTTGTTTCACCTAAGAGTCCGCTAACAATACTTCTTGCTCACAATTGTAGGACTTTCTTCTTGTAACATTAGGCATTTTTCGCGTCACGTTTTTCCTGTCAGTGTGGCCCTAATACAAATTCTGCATGTTATAACAGTGAAACAAAATCACAATCTTCTTGTGTCAGTGGGCCTCTAAAAGCTCAAACAGTCATTTTAGTTTGTCTATGCGATGCTTTAGACTTTACATATGAAGCATTTTTGCCATCTGTCCTCTTTGACACCCCCTCCCTCCTCCTGAAGACAAATGTTAGTGTGTTTTCAGCATCAGACCGGGAGGCTATCACCTGTTGTTTTCTCACTCCTGAAGGTGCTTTGGTCACACAGTTGTGGGTGCAAACTAACACATTATATCTAACTTGGCTTCCATAAAACGACATTTTATGGTGTTGGAAATATGACTCGCTTAATGGCTGGCGTGATAAGTTTGAGACTGAAGGACAACTTTTGTGTGTTCAGTGATTTTTTTTTTTACCCCTTTTTATCAAAATTGTTTTGATTGGTTAGTTGGATTATCAGGATATATGGTTGCTTTATCGATCTGTTATTATGGATTAAGAGACAGTAAAAGGCCCAAGTAGAGGATTTTCTCACTGTAGATCTCTGAGCGCCCGTGACTTTTTCCACGACTTTTCCAACGAGCGACTTGTATGTTACTTTTTACCGTTTGTGGCCAACTTTCCACTTCTCTCACTCTTTCGCTCATTCCTTCAACGGCTTTTGTTTTTTTTTTTTTCCACTGACCACTTCATATTTACATGCAGTGGCAATTGCAATTTACTTGGTGGCTGAGGACATTGCAAAATTGCTTCATGGTGTGTGCTTCATGATCGGAGTTGGTACGAGAATCTGTTTGCAGAGGTGGGCAGAGAAGGTAGCCAAAAACTCAAAGTAAGAATACAGTTCCTTACGAAATTGTAGGACTCAAGTCAAAGTATGAAGTAGTCCTCCCAAAAAATTACTTTATCACACATTTATACACTCAGCAACTCAATGTGCTCCGCACAACCAAAAGCAGAACACCTAAAAATCATTTACAAACAGCAGAAGACATTCAAAGGCAATAACCTTGCTTGCAAACTGACTTCTCACAGTATTTGTGAGTTCACACAACCCCGGATATCTGATACTGTGGAGAACTCCTTTGAGCAATTCACAAATCCATCCGGCTCTAGCCAGGTTGCAAAGAGACCAAAAGTAGCTTATTAAAAGAGTTATGAAAATAATGTACATTGACAATTAAACACATTTACAAATAAACAATTTAAAAGCAAAGAACATTTCTCAAAGTATTGACGGTGAAAATTTGTTGAATGCTTAAAAGACCTTGATCAATAGTATTGGGGAAAAAATGGAATTAAAACCATTTACACTTGGTGCTGACTTCACTTCTCTTGGCATCTTCTGCCACGTGCTTGCAGCATAATAGCTTAATGCTGCTTCACCATGATTACTTTGAAGCTAACTGACCCGAGACGGAAGACCATCGTGCCCAACTCGGTTTATATTCAATTCACGTTTATTTTCTGTGTTCCGGACCCAACCCATTCAGACATTAATAGACCAGTAAGTGCAAATTTCAGATCTATTCTGCAGCTGACTGGGAGCCAATTTAGCACTGGAGTAATATGTTCTTATCCATTTGTTCAGGTCAGAACCTTAGTTGCAGCATCCTGAATGAGTTGTTTGATGCTAAGTATTAACATCAAACATAAGTGAAGACAAAGTATTCAGTGAAAAATTCCCAAAGTATTGAGTAATTGTGAAATTCTGCCCAACAACATCACTTTTAACTCCTGCCAATCCATCCATTTGTCCATTTTCGAGACAATTTATATCCTGTTCGGGTTTGCGGGGAGCTGGAACCCATTCCTACAACTCCTGAAACATGAAGTGGAGTTATTGTTGGCTGAAATGTCGTTTTTTTTTTTCGGCAGACGTAGATGACAACATGCAACAAAGCTGTTTTTTTTTCTTTAGTCTAAAATAAATGGATTGTGAGGCCAGCGGTGTTATTCCTCTTTCCATGTGCAGTCACAGGTCATTACTTTCTCCTTTGTTTCTGCCATGCTTCAGAGAAATGAGTCACTTTGAAGCCCGTGGGTGGGGACGCGGCCCACCAAGACTTTCGTATTAACACTTTATTTCTGTAAATTTGTCATGTATTAATACAACTTAATTCTTGTCACATTTAAAAAAAAAAACATTATGACAAGTTCTTGTAACAGATTAATTATATAACATTTCAACTTTTTCGTCCGCTATTATGACGATTCTCATCAAATGAAATGTAAAATGATATCCTGGTAAAGTTTAGCCTTTTTTCGTGTTTTACTTTGCTTTCATACATTTTTAATTATATAACATTTCAACTTTTTCGTCCGCTATTTTGACGATTCTCATCAAATGAAATGTAAAATGATATTCTGGTAAAGTTTAGCCTTTTTTCTTGTTTTACTTTGCTTTCATAAATTTTCAAAAGTTTTGTTTAATTTTTCAGCTTTTTTTTAAATCTAAAAAAAATGTTTTTTTTTGCAAATTTAGATTTTATTTTTGTAACTTTGTGACTTTTTGCATTATTTTACAACACAGTTTTTCTCGCAACACTGCTTTTTTTTTTGTCAAATTAAAAATGAACCTGTAATGTAAATATTTTCAGAGTACAATGCTTTCTTTTCGTAACTTACTGGATGCAACATTTCTCTCATAATTACTATTCTGTTATCGCAACATCATATTTTTAATGTCTTTTTTGTAACGTCTTCACTTCACTTTATTATCGTACCTTTTACAATTTTGTTTCACCTAAGAGTCCGCTAACAATACTTCTTGCTCACAATTGTAGGACTTTCTTCTTGTAACATTAGGCATTTTTCGCGTCACGTTTTTCCTGTCAGTGTGGCCCTAATACAAATTCTGCATGTTATAACAGTGAAACAAAATCACAATCTTCTTGTGTCAGTGGGCCTCTAAAAGCTCAAGCAGTCATTTTAGTTTGTCTATGCGATGCTTTAGACTTTACATATGAAGCATTTTGGCCATCTGTCCTCTTTGACACCCCCTCCCTCCTCCTGAAGACAAATGTTAGTGTGTTTTCAGCATCAGACCGGGAGGCTATCACCTGTTGTTTTCTCACTCCTGAAGGTGCTTTGGTCACACAGTTGTGGGTGCAAACTAACACATTATATCTAACTTGGCTTCCATAAAACGACATTTTATGGTGTTGGAAATATGACTCGCTTAATGGCTGGCGTGATAAGTTTGAGACTAAAGGACAACTTTTGTGTGTTCAGTGATTTTTTTTTTACCCCTTTTTATCAAAATTGTTTTGATTGGTTAGTTGGATTATCAGGATATATGGTTGCTTTATCGATCTGTTATTATGGATTAAGAGACAGTAAAAGGCCCAAGTAGAGGATTTTCTCACTGTAGATCTCTGAGCGCCCGTGACTTTTTCCACGACTTTTCCAACGAGCGACTTGTATGTTACTTTTTACCGTTTGTGGCCAACTTTCCACTTCTCTCACTCTTTCGCTCATTCCTTCAACGACACTTTGTCTTTCATTTGCACAGCTGCTGTGAGGCCGGCCCATCTGCAAAGACACGGCCACTCAAGCCTTCAGCCCTCACCTGGGACGTGCTGTGGGCTATTTGAGCCATGCGAAGCAAGAATTTTAATGCGCCCCACCATTACCTTATTAAATGTTGGGCTTATGAAAAACCGAACAGTTGTATAATTGTTTTTATTTTTTTTTAACTTGAATTGGATTAAAAGTTAATGTGTTGTTTTGGTCCAGCTGGAACATTTGGACCCGCTGACTTTATGAGAGAGAGGAGAAGTGAACCCAGACAGTTGCTGGATCACTGCGTCTTCTGTACACACGCTGGCCCCTCCGGCCGCACAATTGTGTGATTCAGGTGGCCTGTCAGCCTTGTGAAAGGTCTTGACGGGCCCATGTTGATGTGGGGCTGATATATAGAGTGGAGGGGGGGAAAACGAAGACAGCTCAACCCAAGTGGAACATTTGGATTGTTCGGAGCTACAAGGAGCCCTGTCACACTGGACCCAGTGTGCCAAGTTTATTCCCAGGAGAGCTTGGCTTTACTCTGTTTGTTCAGCTAATTTCAGGGGCTAACTCTGTTGATGGGCTCAAAGCTGACGTTTTAAATCCACCTAAATAACATAGACTGAGAGTATGTTGACATCAGAACAACCAAGTGAAAATGGGTATGTGTTTTTTTTTTGTGTGACTGAAAATGCAGTAATAGTTGGCAACGTTACTATCGTGATGGATGCACATCCTCTACTTAACTCTCTAAACCAATTTTTCTATGTCAGTGTGGTTGAGCATTATTTTATTCGGTCACTGAACACCCGATGGATGTTCACCATTTAGAGCCCAGAACTACGTAGTTAAAAAAATAAAAATAAAAAAAAACATCTACTGTTTATTGTTATCATTTTCCATGAATAACTGTTTCGCTTCGGTTAGGATTGGTGCACTTTTCATGGCATTTCCACTGTAACTATGTTACATAATCAAAGCGTAGTTAACCAAACAACTGATGGAAATGCTGCTTTTTCCCTTTGACAGTTTAGATGAGGCGGTTTGGGTTTTTTGGGCTCCCACATCAATGTACAGCGGAGCATTTTCAACAGCAACGCCACTCACCTGCTATACTGTTCGTCCTCCCTACCAGTTGACTGCATTTCCTAAAAGGACAGACCATGGGTTACTTTTTTAAAAGAGAAAGATGTCACCACGAGGAGCTGTTGAGACTTCAGTTTTACCCCCCACCCCACACCCTCCAAAAGTTGAGATTTCCCATTGAATATTATATTCATTGTATTACGTAGATGTTAGCGATGCCACTTTTTGGCTAATGTTAGCATGACATTTTTGCCTTCAATAATAAGTAATGTTGATTCAGCATGATTCATTTTACAAACTGGCAGTGTGCTATCACATATTTTTAATGCAATATATACAGTATATGATCAACTTGACTCCTTTAATCAAAACAATAAATCCAGATAAACAATTATTTATCGTCTCACCACTTATCACAGACACTTTAGTGAGCACAGGAGTGGGAAGATGCCCAAGTCACGTCTGTCCATTGAAAAGAAAAATATATAAAATGAAGACAAAGCATTTAAGAAATTTGTCCTTGTAATGATATGTGTGTAAATGTTTGGACTGAGATCTCAGTTTTATTATTCAGCTACATTTCCATGATAACTGAGTGATTCTGATGTTGCACAAATGCACGCTAGAGTCATCTTGACCTGGGATATTAAAAAAAAAAAAAAAACTCAGGTCACAATAGAGCTGCGAAATTAAGTTGTAGAGCAGAACATCCGCAACCTGGCAATCTACTAATGAATGCGAGACTGATGATCAGTGAAGCACAAAGCTAATTGATCCAGGTGGACGGCAGGGATGACTTCAACACATGAAAGGAAGGCCTGCACTGCCTGTCAGACTTGATGTGAGTAGAAAGACCTCTTTCTTTTGCCATGTTTCCTCATGAGCATATTGCATTGCAAGACTGGGAAAACAGCAACGCTAAAAGCAAAATAAAATACTTTTAGGAATGAAGTGTATCACTTCTTGAGACGTATGAGCTCCTTCAATGGCTTCTTCTACGAGAGAAGTTTCAAAACCTAAGGCGAAGCGAGCAAGCTGAGAATGTCGAGTGAAGCGAGAGGGAATGGGGGATGGGTGGAGGAATGGGTGGGTGGGGTGTAGAAATGGGGGTTGCGGGGAGGGGTGAAGGATTGGGTTTCCTCTGGGTTTCTAGGCACCTCCACATGTTTTTCATTACGGTCCTCACACTGTGGGACCAGTTCCACACCGGGATGCTTGTTTTTAGTTATTAGGCCCAGTGTGCTGCGGTTTGGTGGACAGGGCCTGAAAAACACCGCCGGCTCGGGACTGTCACAACGTGCAACTGTGCTGACATTACGCACACTCTCGCTTGCCCCTCGATGTGTTTAGACCCTATTTGTACACATAGCGGCTGGCGTGTTTATTTACTCCACTGCAGATGGAGGAGGGTGAAACATTTGTTTGGATACACTCATGGAATGATAGTAAACAAAATTGTTTGTACATTACAAGGCCTGCCAAGGGAAAGTGCAGTTTAAAACGAAATAGAAAGTGTCTGCAGAACACATACGTGGGTGCTCACAGTATTTCGAAGTGACTACATCACTGTATTTTATTGCATCTTTTGCAAAAACTATCCGCTTTACGTGTCTTATGATCACGAGATTTCTGCTCAATTGTACATCGCTTACGAGTCCGCTCTTGCCGCGTGTGTACACAGCCGCTAGAACCTTCAAAAATATTGTTTACCAGGAAATGTAATGTTTACAATGTGATAAAAATGGAAATTGTCGCAGGAAATTGTTGATCCGTCACGCTTCCGACGCTTTGCCCCATTTCATGCTCGTCCAAAGCCGTCAACTCAGAGGCGTGTCACGTTTCTGCCGCGGGCTGACATCAGAGATCGCAATCACGTATCGGCGCGTGCCCTTTGCTGCCTCAGCTGCAACGGGATACACTTATTGAATTTTAAACAGGAAGAGTAACAAATTGGCCCGTTTTGTTTCTTTCGAAGAATCTCTCTCCCCGAAATGAAAAGGCGTAGAAAACAGCTGAGAGCAGAAATGAGATAGCAGGTTCAGAAAGTGAGTGTGTGTCAGTCTGGTTCGGGTCTCTCGCCTGTCAAGGAGATGCGTTATCTCGGCACAGATAAGGGCAACCACGGTGTGAATGCATACGGGCCAAGGGTGATAGCATCTCCTCTCAAGGATTCCACTTGCAGGACCCTGAATGATAGCTGACAGCACACACAAGGGAGGGGGCGGGTGGCTCTGCAGTGTTTTGATAGGCAGCCCTCAACAGGTATCCAAGCAAGTTTGTTTGCACTGTAATGTGGTTCCTCTCCTTTGCGTAAACGACAACTATCGCATGTAAATCAGCTCAAACCTCTCATGGATTTAGTTTTATATCAGAAGAGTGGAATGCCCAAAGTATAGAACACACTCATTTCAACATTATCACTAAGTTAGAAACAATAAAACTGTCCTCAAATACGCTCTTAGCCTAATCAACTTTCTGTCAATTCTTTTTTTTTTAAAGTATTAACTAACAAATAACTATCAGCAATTGTAAAATGAAATTCAACTAGCAATTTCATGTGAAATATAACAATACACATGACACTCCACCTTTTGAGCGACTAGCATATAACAACCTACTAAGTCTGCAACTAGCATAGAAGCTAACACGGCAGTCTACGTTTTTACCCAGTAAAACGGCCTCAACAGATACAACTCAACATTTTAGTCCATAAAATGGTATTTATCTGTCCAGACTCCCGCTGAGATTTCTATCAAGCAGGCGGGAATTGGAACAAAAATAGGAAGTCGAAACGAATTTCGGTCCTCCGACTGCATTCTATGTTTTTGTTACAATCACATACAAGTGACTCTTCTTTCTTTTGCCTTTCCGCAGCTCAAGTGTTGACACAGCTTCAAGCTCAGTGCACGTGAAGAGACAGTCAACTGACAAGGTAACCCTAGCTCCGGGGTGACGGGGTCACGCAGGTCTGATGAGGGATGATGGGTAAAATAAATGGAGAGCAGCACACAGAGGGACTTGTGATGTTCTCAGTCCAAGGGGTTGAGGCGGGTAGTTCAGACCCATTTGAACTTTGACCCGCAGGGCTGCCTTTGTGTTTGTGTGCATGTGTTTTCATGGTTAAGCCCCCCCCCCCTTTGATATTGAATCCTTAAACGTCAGTCGAATCTAAAAATTAAGATAAGATAAGATAAGAAAAACCTTTATTAGTCTCGCAATGGAGAAATTCCCAATTCACAGCAGCAAAGTTATGAAAGGAAGAACTAGAACAACAAATTAAACTGTGAACCCAAGATTTTACTGTTCAGATAATAGTGATTAAAAAAAAGACCATTCTGTCATGCCTCTTTGATCAGTTTTTTTTTTCATTTTTAATTGTCATGGAGATGTAAAAGATGTGTACTTACTATCACATGTAACACCTGACTGCCTCATGATGTGGTGACGGATATGTAGATGGGGATTTCTTTTTAATGTACCTGGGAGGTAAGTCTCTATTCTTGCTCAGGCTGAACACAGCAAACTTTGTGGTGTAAAACTCAGTTGTTTTGTCAAAGATGTCAACTTATTGACTTATTTTAGCCACAGTCTACTGACCACCCAGGAATGAAATGCACGGACTGCTTTCCAAAATTGCAATTAGTGCGATTTCAACAGTGGTTATTTTCTCACTCTTTAGTTTATTAAATGTGCATTTGTTACAATATGACCAAGATGAGTAAACCCGATCTGGACTTAGTACTCAACAGTTGGTATTATTTCTGCCCCGGGCCCACCCAGATAACTAGCCCACACCACAAATAGATGGGCAGACAATAACTCATTGCAGGATACATATATATTTAGCTGCTTTAATCTCCAAAACTTTTAGCCCAAGAAGGCATTCAGGGAATGTTACCTCCAGCTTGACTTGGTTTTAGGATGTTAAATGTGGAGGAACGTGGCAAGCGTATGTGGCATTATCAGCCAACTGGACTCAGAGCGTGAAAGAACGAGGCAATGCTGGGAATGTATTTTCATTTGGGAAAATATAGCAAGTTCTTATACGTTTATATAATAAATAAATAAATGCACAGTAATTTTGTTCCTTTCAGCTCAAGTGTAAATATTAAAAATCGTGAACTTACTGCTAGCTTCAGCCACCCTGAATTTGTTCATGATCTCCTTGTTACCCACAATTTACAGAACATTTTACTGACACTTTTTCATTGAAAAATAGCATTTAAAGCCAGTCATCAGTGACTGATTTACTGAGAATTATTTACTCAAGGAGCATTCTCAGGAGTACTCTAGAGAAAGAAGAAAACAGGAAAACTTACCTTCAGCCTGCGTTTGGTATGAGCTACTATGTATGAGTTGAAGCGCCGCTCTCTGACAGCAGTTTGCCCCTCGTTCCCCGACAACCTCAGCTGGTCAACTAAGTACTAGGACAGCCACGGGGACACATAGCCATTGGAATCAAGGCACATGACAGCAGCTGTCTGTTTCAAGAATCGGCACTTTGATTCAAGTAGGACGGTAGTGAGCGATGAGGCCTAATTCCAACATATCTGGGTTGGGCGCTTCGCACCGAATGGAAAAAAGATTGAAGGACATTAATCAGATCGGCACATGCTTGCAAACAACCGAACTGCACATTGACACGCACACGGCTACATTTGTGCTTCTTGGGGTTTATAGATTATTAGAAGGCTTGAAAGCATTTGTCACTTTTGGAAAGGGTCCTGTATTCTCTTCAAATTCCATCGGACAAACAAGAGGAGCCCCATGGCTGGCTGGCCTCGGTGTAAGCCGAGCATATGTGCAACGTGAATGAAAGGTCTGTCTTGTTGGTCCACATCCAACCTCCAGCCCCACCTCCATTTGTCCCTCCATTTTAATAGCATTTTTTATATTTACACCCAGGAGAAACAATCTCCCAAACATCGCCTGTACCCACACAAACGTAAACAGTGGAACCTCCAAAGTCACTGGCGAGAGTCCGAACTGTCACCACCATCTAGATCAGCGGTTCTTAACCTTGTTAGAGGTACCAAACCCAACCAGTTCATATACACATTCACCGAACCCTTCATTAGTGAAAAAAAAAACTGATTTTTCTTTTTTTCTTTTTTTTTTTTTTTTACAAATTCAAGGCAGAAAAAAAATGCATTTATTAAAAACACAGAAACGTAAACAAAATTAGTACAAGTATAAAGTATGTTTTTTAATTGTGCACAAAATGAACCAGCCAGTGATGGCCAAGCGGTCATGTCATAACTAATTGACATTTTGAGTCAGGTGTGTCTTAACCTCCATGGCAGAGGCTCTGTCGAACTCCTCAAACTGATTCACCGAACCCCTGGGGTTCGATCGAACCCAGGTTGAGAACCACTGATCTAGATGTTGGCAACACATGACAAACACTCCTCAATCATTCCTTCAACTTTATTGACAATTGCGGGGTCACACATACTGTATGGTGTGTTAAATTCTGATCGCAAATGACACGCACGCAGCAGCTAGCCACGCAGCAGCTAGCCAGTCAGCACCTAGTGCAAGTCAGCAGCTAGCGCAAGTCAGTGCTCGAAAGTGTGACCATTATGCTCACAAACGCTCCCGGTTTTTCAGAGTGTGCTTGTAAAAATTTCATCCGTTCGCACAGCCCGAATAAGTGTTTTATTCATTCTTCTACCGGTACATACAGTGAAGCGCTCCATTTCTGTGCCCGTCTGCTAGACGGCACACAGAAGATGGAACACATGACCAGGTTAAAACCTTTCTGTATACATTTAATAAATATCCTGGTGGTCTGGATGTGTGCTTAGACAAATTGCCAGTCATCTAACTTTTCAGATTTGCACAAAAGATGCTCTCAAAATGACATGATATTTTCAAATTTGTTTCTTTGGTTTGATCAATTTAATTTTGTTTAGATATTATAGAGCTCATCATCATATTTTTCCCTAAAATATTGGTCTGACTCCCAATTTTATAAGCTTTAGTGTGTTAGACTGTATTTTCATTGTCTGAGAGTCTGTATTGTATGGCGTAAAACACAACTTGTAGACGTGAATGCGATTCACTTTGTGGCTCGGCACCCTCGCTGCTTGATACAAGACTGCGTTCCTGTGATTTATGGATGCAAAGAAGTCAGCCACAAGGCCTCGGGGCAGAGTGAGAAGGGGGGGTAGAGCAAAACAACACTGCTTAATTCAAGTCTGAAAAACCTCGCGCAGGGGTATCGCAAACCTACTGCACCATCGGATCTTTTTAGACCCCCTGCTTCTTCCGACAGCGATAAATTCAACTTGTAAACTCACAAATTCCAGGCTGAAGGGGTGGGAAAAAGGAGACATTGTATCATTTCACTTTATCTATGAATTCATGTTGCCGCATACATAATGTGTCTTTGCAAGTGCCCAGGGAAATGGAACAGATGCGAGCGGCAAACAAAAAGTGATTCATTTTTCCTTGAATGCATTGTAAAGCTGCAAAAAACAAAAACGCCTGCCTATGATTCATGCAGCATTGTTCTTTCCACCCCACTCCCAGAGTGTGTTCTGTCCAAACGTTTTAGGCGAGCAGCTGTTCGCGCAGACAGCTGCGGGGGCCATTCATCGCAGGCGAGTGGCAATTAAAAAAATCAAGCCAATGTTGTGTTTCAGTTGATCCGTCGCTATTCCTATGTGTAATCCTCTCTCCCATGCCTCGCCTATCTTTTACCAACACACAAATACGTGAAGGAATTTTCGAGGCACGCACACGCGTCCCATCAACAAGTGGGCACGGAGATTCATTTCTTCGCCCGAGATAAAAGGCCTAAATTGCAGTGACATGGCATAGTTGGATTTGGGGGCATTACCGAGGCCAGAGCTGAGAGGAGCCAGGTAATCTCCAAGATTTACTGGGTTGCAGAGTTTTTTCCATATCTTCTTCTCGGCGCTATGCGGCCACACAAAGTCTGGCTGGCGTCGCAGTGGCATTCGGCGGAAGGTTAAATCGAGCGGCGGCCGTGTGCCGCGCGCACCGGCGCATTCTTTTATGTCCGTGCTCACACGACAGCCCTGTTGGGCTCTCAAAAAAGCAAAGCAGTTGTCGCCTCCTCTCACGGCACAAAGCAGGTGCAAGGGCTGGTGGGTGGCCTGAGCGACATTGTTGAGTGCAGGGTTTGTTTGTTTTTTTTGTTGTTGTTTGAAATGGGTGTGCTCGTCCATTATTGGTTGAGGTGCAAATGGTTTTCTGAAAATACGGTAGGGCATGTGGCTGGCACCTTCTGGGTTGCAATCTCATTTTTATTCAGGTTTTGGGGAATCAAGGATTCCGCCCAGTGCTAGTGATAACCGTGTTTCTTGTTAACCGTGGTTAACTTTGTTTCACACCTAAAAAGTTAGATGCACAACCCGCATTTACGACTCTACTCACCTGTACACAATTCCTTCGGCATTTGATCAGATTTCAAATCAAGCTCGAGTGTTTTATTGTGAACACAATCAAACAGGTCGTACTTTTAATCGACATTTTTACACATTTGTGACTTCAAAATGATGTTCAAAGGTGAAATCAACAATAACGGTCCAGTTAATATGGCTTCCAACGGCAATGTTTTGACAGTGGAAATAATGATGTCTGAAAAATTGTTTACAAATCCAAATAGAACCGAGGCCAACCAGCAATCCGCCTTTACGAGATTGCCCTCAAATCAATCCATTTCTCTCTTTGCTCTTTGCCCCATATAAGCCAGATCTTGGGACTTCCAAGTATCTTTCCAGTTACAAAGAGGTTGCCAAGTAGTAAAATTCAAGGGTACAAGACCAATAACCTTGAGGGTATGACCAAAATAATCCACAAATCACTCGTTTTATGCTGCTGCGCTGTAGAAATGGTACTGACACCAAAATGGGTTCGGACTATGTTCATCTGACAATTGTGATGCCTTAAGAGTTGTGTCACTGATATAACAGAGACAGGACATGACATCACGTAGTATACATCACAACAGAAACTGGCTCCAACGTGGTCACACTGACATCTTTATTGGATTGTGGGTTGTCATGTCACTGGATGAAAATGTTGCACTCATCTGCCCCTTTCTGCATAAAAGGCAAGGGTGGATCATGTTACGGCTCTGATTTTCCAATTTTTATTTGGAATCCCTGTATAAAAGCCTTTCGCCGTGAGCATTCAGTCATCGAGCAGATCAGATATCAGAGGGATTTACTATCCAAAGGTTGCGCGACCTTTTATGGAAAAAACGAAACTGTAAAATTGTCCTCTCGAATAATGGTGTCACCCCAACAAGGTGCCAACCCAGCTTGAGTATCGCCGAGCAGCTGCGGTAAGAGACGGCGGTGGCGTCGGCGCTTTCAGCAGCAGCGGTTTTCTAAATCACATGCACCTCCGAGCATCCATGGCGTAATCAGTGTGATGAGCTGACTCATTGTGAGAAGATTATTCCCCGCAGAAGTCTTCCACTGAGGGCCGGCCAAGTTGCTGTCATGGTTTGAATGCAAGAATTAACATTAATCCGTGGCAAATTTGAAAGATATTCCATGTAATAGCAGATAGTGTTCCTATAACTCCTCAGAGAAATTCAGTCCCAGTTTAAAAAAAAAAAAATGTTGCACCACCTCATCTAATAGCTGCAAGTAATTGGTTCTGGGATAAGAAGATCAAATTTCATTTTCCATCACTTGGAGTAAAATATGGTGCAATTATACCCCATCCCCGTCATGTTTCCGTTTGCAGTAGCGTAGTATAAACTAGTGAGTTTCAGCTTGTCTGATATTGCATGTATGGGGGAAAAAAAATCCCGACACTGACATCGCATGCATGTGTTTCTCTTTCTATTTTTTCCCCATTCATGTACAAATATCTTGCCACTTCTTTAAAATTAAACTGTGTCAAAAATATGCTTCACTGTTTTGCCTGCGGGCGGCCCGGTGGACGAGTGGTTAGCGCATCGACCTCACAGTGCCAAGGTTGTGGGTTCGATCCCGGCGCCGGCCTTCCTGTGTGGAGTTTGCATATTCTCCCCAGGCCTGCGTGGGTTTTCTCCGGGTACTCCAGTTTCCTCCCACATCCCAAAAACATGCATGGCAGGCTGATTGAACACTCTAAATTGTCCCTAGGTGTGAGTGTGAGTGCAGATGGTTGTTCATCTCAGTGCTCTGCGATTGGCTGGCAACCGGTTCAGGGTGTCCTCCGCCTACTGCCCGAAGACAGCTGGGATAGGCTCCAGCGCCCCCCGCGACCCTTGTGAGGATAAAGCGGATCAGAAAATGGATGGATGTTTTGCCTGCAAATGCGATATACACAGCATTTAACCTTTTAAATCAAATTTTGACTCCCTGTCTGCCAGTTGTGTCTCATCAGCCTCTTTAGCACAAGGATCCTGCACACATGCCGCATCAGTTCTGTTGCACAGATCTGGCAT